TAACGTCAAAATAAGCACTTCAAAATGTAAAAAATTTCTTAAAAGATGGAAATATCCCTAAATTGAAATATCATAAAATATCTAAATTTATGTTTTAACTCTTGGCATGTTCATTGATGTTTACAGCCGATTGACCCATTTTGGGACTTGAATATTTTTCATTTTTCATATCATATTTAAAAACTTGTGTATTGGTCCTTTAATTTTTTTATCATATTTTGTATCATTTTAATTACAACTAGAGTTCAACATTTAAAAAAATTAATGCAATCCTATTTTTTAGTGCTTTATAGAATTCAAGAATGTTATGTTATTTCATGGTACCCAAGACTGAATAAACAACAAAAAAGTGAGTGAAGAACAACCAACATTCTGTCACATACAGAGAAAAAGGTTTAAAGAAATTATGTCTATTTACTTTGACGCAAAATTACTCTTTCCATCTCTTATCTTATTCACTTCTCCACCTCCTGTTCATGAGTATATTACATAGCAATGGCCATTAGGTTCAACATTCATTGATCATAGGCCCCTAGTGCTCATATGCTAGTGAAAAAAGAACCCATTTAATGAGGATACAATGCCCATTCAAGAAATGAACCACTTTATCCCAAAAACCGTAAGTTTCCTTTGCCATCTTAAAAGAGGTCATCATTGGTTGACTCTTTCATGAAAGTCTATATTTACCAACTTTGAGTGAACTTTTTGTGTTCTTTTGATAAATCCTTATTGAATCACATTATAAACCAGTCAATGTATTCTACTTATTTAATTTTTGGTCAAATGAAACATTACTTTGCAGGGAATTATACCATATTTATCATATTTAATAAAATCAATTTGATATTTTAAAATGAATTAAGTATGATTTTTTTTTCTAGCATTTCACCTCTTAGTAAATCATTTTGATATGAATATATTATGCCTTTTTTGCATGTACAATGGCTTGTCTCTTTGATAAAGTAAAAATAAAATTTGATACACTTTCTTGAATTAAGATCATGTACCATAAATAGATGTCAAGAGACAATAACCTGTCCTCTGAGCATACTTATAGACATCTTCAAGATGTTTATGTTTATTCAATCTTCCTTTGGAGTGCATCTACAGATTTTCAAGATATTTTTTGGTGTTCCCCAATTTTGTTTAATATTCTTCTTGCTGCTTAAGTCCATTTTTATTATGCCTTTTTAGCCAAAATGCCTCAAGATGTATTCCTCAATACCTCTTATCATTAATATTCTTACCAATTCATTTGATGTAAATAAATTTCTTAAGTCAATCAATTTTAATTAAATTTTGAATTAATAAATCATAATATTAATAATTTTCTTCATTTACTTAGCTTAGTTAATACAAGTTTGGCTTTAATCTGCACAAAAGACAATCTTTAACCTATCTTAACATTTGCACATACCATAATGAGGAGCGCCAATATTTTACAAGTTGGACTTATCTTAGACCTAATCTTCTCTCCAAGCCTCATGATATGTCTTATATCAGATTTCTCACAAACTTCAAATAGATTTGCCTTTTAGAGGCACCAATTAGGACTATACAATGAGACTACTTTCTATACCTGAAAGACTTGCTCAATAGCAAGGTTTCAAACATTATTATATAAAAATGAACTAGTAGCAGGATCTCTAAAACAAATTTCGAGCACTTGTCAAGTGAGGCAGTGCAGCTCAACTAGATAACGAACTTTGATTCCTTTGTGAAATAGACCTTGAGCAGGATCTAGGGATTTTAATTTGGATTTTTGAAAGTTTTGTAAATATTTTCCTCATCTTTTCTCATTGTAGTCGAAAGGTTGGCTTATCTTTTGTTCCATTTCTATAGGTCTTGCCCTTATCAAACTATGGGTGTTAGAATTTCACAGATCAAAGAATCAACATCCAGGTCGTGGGGTTTATCTACCGTGTTTCGTTATTCTGTTTTATTCTCAGCTGTGATACATCTTGATGGCTGATATTTTCATTTTGAAACCTTTATTTCCTGGTTTTTATTTGTCTCAATCGGGAAACCTAGCCCCTGATGGTTTAAACTTTCAACTCAAGGGATCAACACCTACACGAGGCTTCTATTTTGCTTCCAACAAATGTTTTGTCACGAGTTTGATTAAAGTCTATGACCTAAAATATATCAGTACGTATGTAGAAACTCTGATAGCCGTATGAAATCAATACTTTCAATACGTATCTTTTGTCGTCATTTCTACAAGTTATCGCATAGAAAACGTATGCGTTCTATAAGATATAAATAGGGGAAAGTTTTGTCACTATAACAATAAACTTATTAGATTCATCTCATTTTATTCTGACTGAATAAATGGAGTCATCTAGATATGTGCAAGTTGACATATCAAGAAAAATATACTAGAACGTATAATACAGTATGGATTAAAAAATAGAAGTCCATGTAGAGCTATTTGGGAAGAAAATGGACTGTTTAGGGTAAATCATATGGTCAATGACTTTCATTTATTGAACTAAGCATAATGTTGACCTTCTAATCATGTATTTTATTGTCAGATGAAAATAATTACGATTTTGAATTATTTTGGTTAGGGGTGAAATCCCACTCGAACCCCCCAGAGCTTGCTGGTCTGCTCGAAATGCGCAGCAGTTGACCCGACGTCAAAGGGTAAAGCACTAATTTGGTGCGGGCCGCGAGAGCGGTTCCAAACCAAGGTAAACTCCTAATACCAGCTATGAGCCCAAAGTAATGGAGATCAAGGTCGATCAGAGAAACGATGAGGGGATAACCTTCAGAGTCGAAAGGGATACAACCCAGATCACCCGCTAAGGACACTAAATGACCGCTCAGTGAGAAAGAAGGTAGGTGTGCAGAGACAGCCAGAACGTTTCTCATGAAAGAGTGCGGAATAGTAGCTCACTGATCGAGCGCTCTTGCCCTGAAGATCAACGGGGAAAGCCGTGGGATGTAAAGATTTATCAGTAGGGGAGCATTCCGCCTTAGATAAATGCACCGATGAAAGCAGTTGTGGTCAGAGCGGAAGCGAGAACGGCTTGAATAACGAAAGCGAGAATTGATGAGAATCCAATGCCCCGAAAACCAAGGGCCGCAAGCTTCATCAACGAAGGGTGAGTTCGGGCCAGGTTAAAATTACAATACTTCGTCATCAAATTATGTACATTTTTTCCTGTGAACCGTTTTCTCTTCAACTTTGTTTCTATTTTATTTCCACTCCAATAATATTGATCATGCTCCCCAATGGTCACATGAGACACAGACACAACTTCATCTGTCGTTCTACGTATGTAAACTCATTAAATATATCATGTAGTCTTAGAGCGTTGTGTCATCTAGTCATCTTTAAGTGATTTATTTTTGAACATTTCAATGTTGGTGTACAACACTACCAAAGTAAAAGCATTCTCACTCTTAGTTCGCTATACGTTGTCCAAAAGTGGCACATTTCTGAGGATAGGCGAGGGATATTGAGTCGCTAACTATAGAGGACGCCTTTACTGCCGTTGGTACCACCAAAACGAGATCTTGACCTACACAATTATTCAGTACTTAGGACGGTAAATTTTGGGTATACGATAGGGACATAGAGTAACTAATTATTGAGGATGGCTTTATAGCCCTAGCCAATTCCTCCCAAAATTTACAATCTACGGTACCAAATAATTGTCTTGGTCAACATGTCTTTTGGTGGTGCCAACACTCTGATCGGCAAGTGTGTAGGTATGTGGCCATTGTCAAGACAGAGAGAGGACGAGATATCAATCAAGAACTCAACCCCAAAGAGCCCGGAGTCAGGGCACCAACACCAGCTAAGGTAAGATAGAGAACAGGAAATTAGAAAGATTCTCAAAGTTGGGAGCTTGACAGATGTCTACGGGTTCGAACGGAGACAAGAGACAAGAGGTAGGGATCAAAGATGTCTCAATCCATCATAGTCTTATCCATGAAAGCAATTATATAAAGGGAAAGCAAAGGGAGATTTTTCCCCGATGCTCAACTCATCCCTACCCACAAAGGTTTGGGGGGGCGGGGGGAGAGAGAGAGAGAGAGAGAGAGCGGATATTTGGAAACATTTGGAGAAACCCACCTAATTTTTAATGAAATACTTTAACTAGGGTAAAAGCATTTAACCGAGCCTTTCTACTTCTCAATCCCCGATAAATCTATGTGACAAATCGTATGAAATTTTAAAACTGCCTTTAGTCAACACCGATCCTTTCCTTTTCTAAAACTCACCCACGATCGTACACTGGATATTCTCCATAACCTAATCTACTCATGGTATTTAATTCTCCAAGAGAAAACAAACTTAATACGAGTATTTTCATAAACAGCATCACCCCATGTTTACAGTGAAATCGTACCTCTCGCATCAGTGGAAAACGGGACCTTACCTACCGCAGTATGACGTACCAGTAATTTCGCTCCCTGAGAGCAGCTTACTTCTTTGGGCCCATCAGACTTCTTCCATTGGGATCTTCCTCTATCGCTATTTGCAACTTCCGTGTGTGTGTGTGTGTGTCTCTCTCTCTCTCTCTATCTATCTAGCTTCGAAGACCATTCTTTCCCTTCTGCTTGGTTGCCACGCAGGACGAGCCCTCAGCCATTTCAACAAGGCTTTACCCTCCCCTCTCCGGCGCGGCCTCTGATAAGATATCGACCGCCGCACGAGAAGAAAAGGTCGTCGTCTCATCAAGTTGAAGCCTTTCGAAGTGGACAAGAAATAAGAAAAATGAAGATAAGACGACAGCGAATCCTGCTTCAACCCTCCCTCCCATGAATCGAGAAAAACAATCCGTGGAAGAAAAAGAGAGAAGAGCAGGAAGATAGGACCGTCTCCGCCACGAATATTATTACGCGAGCAAATCTCTAATATCGGAGAAAAGCAACAGAAACTAAGAATAAAAAAAATGCTGTTTCAAAGGAAGGGATTGATGATAAATGGTGAGATTGTTGTCCTGATCAGGGAATAGCGCCCGCCGGAGCTCATCTACCCGCGCAACTCAGGGACCGCCGAACGCGTTGCTCGGGGTGGCGGCGCCGCCGATGATGGAGGTGATTGCTGCAGCGACCGCGGCCGTGAAGTTGGGATCCGACGTGATGGCGGCTGTCACCCTGTCGTTGAAGGAAGCAGGCTGATGCTGCGGCAGATTTGTTTGATTGTAGAGTGCCTTCCCGAAGATTTGCGGCGGCGCGGCAGCGCCTGCAAGGGAAACATTGAAGTTGGCTGCGGTCGCTGCAGCAACAGAGGGAAGTAGTGCCCGCTGGAAGTGATTGGAGGAGGGAGCGTGGGTGAGGTCGAGGGTCACGGTAGGAAAGGGAGCTGAGGCGGAGATGGAGGCCATGCCGGAGGAGAATGGCATTAGCGTCCTCGTCAGGAAGTTGCCGCCCATCAGTCCGTCCCCACTCGGCATTGACCCCGACAGCAGAATCGACGCGGCAGCGGAGGTTGTAGACGCCATCGCCATAGCCGGCGGCGGCAGCGGGTGGTTGTGGTTGCCCTCGTACGTGGTCGTAAGGATCGAACGGTCTTCGGCACACCTCTGTACCTGATCATTGAAATAAAAACTTTTCACGGCAGTAATCTAAGAAGCGTAAGACCTTGAAGCCAATCCTCCGTGACAATGGTATTACCTGTTTTCGGACCGGACATCCACTGGCCATGGTGCAGCGATAGTAAGCGCGAGGACAAGGGTTGCCCTTCGCCATCTTCTGCCCGTACTTCCTCCATTGGCATCCGTCACTGATCTGCGGGCGAGGAAATGAAGTTATGTAGGGTGGGTTGCAGAAGACAGGAGGCGTCTCCTCAAAATGTTCTTACCATTGGAGCTTCTGATCGAGCTCGCACGGAAACGCGGGCCTTCCTCATGGTCGCCTCCGGCAGCTGCTCGGTGATGCTGCTCCTGGAGAGGCCCTGTGATTCCCTCCTGGCGCTGTCTTCCCTGCCGATGGCGTCGACCTCACCCGGCTGTTTTCCCTGGTCAACGGTTACAATTTTTGGATTGATAATCCTGCTCGAGACGCTTTTCTGTCGGTAGTAGCTCGTGGAGAGGACCTCGACATTGTTGGACGGAACGCCACCGTTCGCCGGAGTCCCCATGTCCGTTGACGAGTACGATGCCTCGTCGCCGCTGGTGGGGGCGACACCGGCTGGGCTGAGGTCAATGAACCGACTCGGCACGATGGGAGGAACCCTGCCGTTGTAGCTCTTCCGCTCCACCGCCTGTACCAGACATAGAAAACCTGAGATCAGTCTTCTCTGGCAGTAATCTACAGTAAATTTACAGTTGATTCAACATGCTAGATGCTTAGTTACAGTCTATAACATAGTTTTAATATCTTGCAAAAAATATAATAACGAAGGGTATGAAATAAGCGTGAAAACCCTATTTCATCTTGTTTAATACGCTTAAAGTATAAAGTTGTCAATATTTTTTGGTCCAATTCTGATTTATCCACCTCGTCTTCCTGGGGAATCTCATGGCCGTGGCGGCGCCGCTGCTGTGATAGCTGAACGATTTGCATCTCCAGGGCGTTGTAGTCAGCGGCGACGCGAATCAGCACCTCCCTCAGCAACCGGTTCTCCTCGTTCATCCTCGCCAACGCCGACTGAATCTCAACCACCTGAGAACCACACGATGAGGACCCTCGTTCAGCTTCGAATGGAATCAGGCTTCTTCTTCCGATGTGATTCCCGTATTATCCAGCCCTTTCTCGCACCTCTCCCTTCCCTTCCTTCTCCTCGCTCATGGGCATCCCGTTCTCCACCGTCGACTCATCGCCGCCTGTTCCCCCGGTTTGGAGGTGCAATCCAATCTGTAAATAAACTATGAAGGGAACATCAGCTAAACTCAAAGGCCGACAAGCAGTTAAACGGCGATCGAATTCCTCCGTTTACCCACGTTGACTGAGTGGGCAAGCTCCTTTTTGTGGTCGAGCTCCTCCAGCGGCGGCGCTCTCGCTTTGCATCTCTTCTCCACGGAGAAGAAGTCCATCTCCTCCACCCGCTGCTTGTCGCCGTCTCCCTCGGGCGACGCCACAGGTGGAGAGGCCGCATCCAGAACTGTGTCCCCGATGCTCATCTCTCCTTTCTCTTTGCCGGCGAAATCAGCGACGTGAGTGCGGAGGTGGCTCGACCCAAGCTCCATGGGCAGCATTTTTGTCCATAGAACGGAAGGAGAAGAAGAAGACGCTAGATGAGGAAGTTTATACAGTGCAACAGGAACTTTGAAGTCTCTCCACCGCCGCTGTTGCGGGTATAAAACGGACAGGGAGGCGATGCGGTGGAACGAAGATTTTGGATCTAGGAAGGAAGAAGGGATGACGGCAGGTGGTTCGTCAGTGCTGGTGGGTTCCACTCTCAAGTCTTCCCCTCTCCGTCTGTTAGAGATAGAGAGAGACGGACGTTGAGGAGACGAGTGGGAAGAAGTACAAGGGAGAGAGAGAGAGAGAGAGATCATGAGGCTGAGGAACTTACGAACTGAGTCTCTGAGGGCTGAACGAGGCTCAGTTTTCATCGGTCATATGGCTTGCTCGTCAACTGGCGGAGTGGCCCAATCGGACGGAGGCGGCCGAGAAGACCGCTTCCGCCCCTTGGCCCACCGCCAGATCCTGCCGTCCCGCACCGGCCGCGGCGTCTCCACCTCCGGCGAAGAATCGCGCACACAGTCGTCTCCTCCGCCGTCGGCATTTCTACCGACTCATCCAGCACCGTCCACGTGGTCAAATGAGGGAGACAGGTCTAGATTAGGATGGAGGGCTCGTGTCAGGCGTTGGATAGATGACTCTTACGAACAAAACCTTGTCTGATTTTGGCTGGGATTCCGCCCTATTCATGCGGTCGCAATCCGAGCCGCCAACAGGCACTGGGTTTGTTTTAGTCATAGACACTAACATAAAAAATTCTCTCTCTCTCTCTCACACACACACACCCACTTTGAGAAGGAGACAGATGGCATGTGTACCAATATCGAACCTGTTAAAGAAGAGCGTTCACCGTGCAAGCCGGGCAAACCAGCTATGGAGAACCGCAGAGGGTAGCTGGGCACCATACCAGAGGACACAGTCGTACAATATATTGACTTTTTGTACGAATGTCTTCATCTCCCTTCACTGACGTCAACATGGTGTTGGCGTCTAGTTTAAATAGTAATGTCTTGTTGCTGGCGTGTCTCCTTTGTCTTTCAACGAACGGCAATCATGTTTTTCAACTAGAAGTTGACTTCTATAAAGCCAATCTTTTGGCGAGGAGAAAAAGGAGGAGCCCTAATCTTGTCGGAAAACAAGGTTCTTTCTAGTGTCTTTCTTGCCTTCGTATGTGGGGGTCAACAAATATCAACCCCGGGTTTTCCAAGGTGCTTGACCAATTCATATTCAGTGTTTGAGAAGGATCTAATGGATCACAGCGTCGTTGGGAAAGTCGCTTATTATTGGTCGTCTTTTGATAACCCTGTTGATCGCTGTTTGTTAACGTGCTCCCAGTTTCAAGGGTCCCAGATCTAGGCCTAAACTTCAATGAAAGCGGACCCAGAAGACAGCCCAGAACAGCACTAACCCATCAGCACAGTACCCCATCGTTATACATGTCAATAGTCGCCTCCTCTCTCTGGCCTAAAGTTAGATGAGTTAACCTGATTAAGGATTGGGCCGGGGCCATTGAAAGAATTCATCAATATCGTCTTTCAATTTTGGGAAGAGTGCATTAAGCAAAATTTATAGAGGTCATAATTGGGTACTGAAGCCTATCAAAGGTTGTTGAATTTATTTAGACTAATCAATCCATAATTAATTTTTTTACAAAGAGAAATGTAGATGTGTGAGACATTAGGGATTTTATACTGATTTGTATAAAACCCTTGCCCTACTTCAGTAGTTAACTTCCTAGGTTGCTAACCAAACCATTTTACACAGAAACTATTGTACTGCTAGACAATTCCACACTATAACACAAATGAAATGAAATAAATAAAAAAATGATTTCCAGGCAGTTTAAGGAACCTTGATAAACCAATTGAATGTTAAGGAATCCTTTAAATCATTGTTGGTGCTTGAGAAATACGGCTTCTAGATGGAAACCATCCTTATAGTATTTATGTTACATTTGAGAGAACCCTTACCACTAGAAAATTCTTATCATTTTTTGTGAAAATAATCTTAATTTTTTGTAGGTAGAATGAGGTTAGTTCTTGACCTTTTTTGTTTCTATTCAGTGAAAAATTCTCTTTATGGTGTCAACAACTTTTAACATATGATCGCTATGGTTTGGGTCCTACTTTTGCTCTCAAGTATCAACACATGATTTTTGACACTTAAGTCAAGAATTAAATTATGAGTTGGTTTTCTAAACATAATAGTTTTTTAAAATTCAAAATAATTTTCTCCATAGGTTTGGAGGATCATGTGGCTCTATTTACCCTCCATTATTGTTGTTTTTTATTTAGAAAATCTTCATTTTCTTTCATAAAAGCTTTAAAATATATCAAAAAAATCCTCAAAATGAGGTTGTATGATCATTAGAATGAATTAATATTATTTTCAAAACTTATACTGATTTCTCATATGTATATATATATATATATGGAGAGAGAGAGAGACACAGATGAATGGGCCCATTTAATGAATTCAATGAAATTGAAGGTGGATCGATAGTTAAAGTTAACTTTTAATATTGGAGACATGTTGACAAATGACACTCCATGTGACGACCATTGAAAATATTCATAAACGTGCAGGGGATGGTAGGCCTTGTTGTGGGGCCAATGAATCGGACTCTTAGCAACTGAGCGAGGGCTAACGGTTGGAGCCCCCTTGGCAAATAATGTCAAGATCGTGGGGTCCTTCGTCGAAGACTTGGTGGCCGGGCATTGGCCGATGGACAATTCTTGACTTTTGCCTTTAGTGGGGCCCACTCTCGAAACTTACCCCCTGGATATTGCCGAAGTCATCCACAGCCGAACGACCATTCATCCAATTGTGGGGTCCATTTTTTAGACGTTTTGACGGCCGGACTGGGCAGCGTGGACTTCTCTTGACACGTAACTGTCTTCATAAACCCGTTTGACACGTCACGTTATTTGCTCTCAACATTAATGTTACAGTAATTTTTCGAGTTTCCCAGTCGTCCTTGATTTTCGGCCCCAGCTTTATGTACTTCTCAAAGGTTTGGTGAAGCCACGGGAGGGGGAGAGAGAGAGAGAGAGAGAGAGAGAGAGAGAGAGAAGGGGGGGGGGGGGGAGAGAAAGAATAGGTTTTGATTATCGCAAAATTTTGTAACAGAAAGGGATATTTAAACATAGAAATTTTATATAAAAATTTGAATCCGTCTGAAACGTGTTGAAAGATAAGGCCGAGGACTTTCTTTCACTGGTGTATATCAAAATTCCCACTTGCTCGCGCCGGTGCTACCTCTTTGGATCTCTCCTGTTTGCGTGTGAACCTTACCTCTCCTGCATCTCTCCGCTGCAGCTCCTCAACGGACTATGCCTCATTCGACGACCGCCGCCATTCTGAATGGAGGATGGCAGTTGAAGAAGAGGGAGGGGAGGGCAGAGGGAGAGGGAGAGGGAGGAGGAGAGGGAGAGGGAGAGGGAGAGGGAGAGAGAGAAGGAGAGGGAGAGAGAGAAGGAGAGGGAGAGAGAGAAGGAGAGGGAGAGAGAGAAGGAGAGGGAGAGAGAGAAGGAGAGGGAGAGAGAGAGAGAGAGAGAGAGAGAGAGAGAGAGAGGAGGCTTGCAAGGGATCCGGAAGAGAGCAGAGGAAGCCTACCATAGGGAAGGTGAGACGAGAGGGAGGGCGACGGCAAGTGATATAGAAGGAAAAGGGCGTGCCGTCGAGAGGGAGAAGAAGGAGAGAGGTGTACCAGCGGGGGGAGAAGTGGGGATGATGTACTAAGATGAGCATCAATGTAAGAAAGCAGACGCAATTGGAATTGTTAAATCTCTCTAATAATTTTAGACTTCAATTCTTTAGGTAGTGAAACCCGGCCCTCTTTGTCCAAGAAATTCGACTGGAAGAGCTAAAATCTGTAGAAAATAAGTAGAAGAACTTAATGATCGTTCTTTTTTTTTTTGTGAACCTGAAAAACTACCAAAAAAAAATCTATCATTTAATCATGTTACTATCTATTAAGTCGGCCATCATGTCACACATTCAACAGTACCTCATCAGAGGGCCCCCATTTTATCAGCTTTAGTTTAAGATGCCAAGTAGGAGAAGCAGGCCAAAGTTCCAGTTTACTCACTATGTTCCAAGAACAACGTAAAACAGATGCCCAAGATGCGCGGAAGGCCCAAAAAATGCAGGCCGGAAGTTTCAAATGGTTAAGCCGCTTAGAGAAATTGCAACTTATAAACGCCTTGAAAGGGTAAAATATTGGTGGCCCAACTGGGATTTTTACATAGGTAGCCCCGTTGTTTTAAGAAAAGGATTTCTTTGAGTAGACACAATAACTATTTCCTTTTATCTAGGACCACATGGTCTCTTGACTTTTTCATATTGCCATATCCTACTTTCTAGGGACCTAAAATTACTTTCTAGCCAACTTAAGAAGACATGCACTATAGAATAAAGATATTTTTCCAATAGTGGAAATTTTAACGAATCCAAATCTCCGGGCAGCTTTCCTATGTCTTGTGGATTCAACGAATCCAAATCTCGTTCCTCTTGGATTCAAGGTACGTATCCTAATCTTCCAACTTCCACTACGTCATCTACGGCCCTCGGCAGAAAAGAGAGCTTGGTTGTCTCAGCCCTAAACAATATCCGCAGATAAGACCCGACCACCTGCTTGCCACAACCGAGCAGACTGGCTGTGCAACCGTCATCTACTGAGCCGACAACCTAAATTGCTATGCATTTTATATAAGGCCAGGGAAAAGTGCTTTCAACCTAGCTGCCAGGGTATCGACTTAGGATGTGTACGCCTCCTGGATTAGGCCCCTAGATCAGCCTCGATCGATTCACAAGGAAACCCAATTGGTGATTCTAAAGAACAGAAAATTGCACATATTATTCATAAATTACACCCACGATTACATTACCTTGTCAACTAAAACTTGGTAACTGGAATATCATTCTAGAAATTTCCTAGTTAACGCTCTCCTCTCACTGCATGTGAAAGCTCACTTACCATGGAGGAAGTACATTTGACTCT